CTGGAACAATTGGTCACTCACGAACAAAACCTTTAAAAATAGAAAGCTTGAAAAGGTTAATTATGGTATTATTTTATCAGTACACTTTTTAAAGCTGTAAATATAAGTGTGGCTGCTTGTTCAGGTTGGACTATCTGTGTTGCAGAAATATTTAAAGCTGATACTGACTTGTTTTTTCTTCTCTCCACATAAGAAATGTGAAGAAACGGCGTTACGACCCCAACGCCCAGGCCATTTAAGTGGAGGAGAGATGACAGTTGTAGACGGACTCCTCCAAGGCTTCCTTAGTTGGCTACCTGACAGCTGGACTGCACCTTTTGCTGCTGATTTTTGGCATTAGTTTTACTTGAAAAAGACATAGTGGACATCTCAACAGATTCCATTGTAGTGACATTAAAAAATGCAGCCTTTTCAACTCCACATATAACACCCTTTCCCCTCTACAACTTCTCCACCCCGTAGAGCGTCAGAGCTCCTCGACCTTCCTTTAGTGCCAGTGCACAGGCGTTCAGGTGGAATCCACATCATTCTCTCACCTGGCATGATTATTCACACAAAGTGTGCTGCTTGCTGGCCCCATTAGCATGAAGAGCCTTCTATGCCGGGCTCGGCATGGCTACCAAAGCTATAAATTTATTGCAAAAGAAAAAAAGAGGAAAAACAAAACGTACAAAAAAAAAAAAAAAAACAAGTTGACGATTGCAGGAGAAAGCCTGGTTAAAAACCAAACCCGCTGGAAAGCCAGTTAAAACTCCTACAGGACATGTTGAGGGGCTGCATGCGAGGACAATGCAGACCACATAGTGTAGACGTGCACAAAAACTGTACATTATTAAGAAGTTCAGATTACTAATTGACTTCACATTTCACAAGAACTTCAGCTGCTTTGGTTTCTATTTTAGCACGTTTAATAGGTGTTTTATTTCTTTATTTTTTGCAAAGTAACCGAACAATACCTGTTTGTGCAATTTGGGCCCAAAGGATCAGAGCAAGTTCAGATTCCCAACAGAGCAGCTGTGGTGGTGAGAAACATGTCAAGTCTCTAAATGAATGCAGAAAGTGACAAGATTACCCTATGAAGTATTTCCAACGGTGACTCCAAAGCCAAAGAACCAATCACCTGAACGTATGGATGTTGTTGCACACAGAGCACTTTCCCCTTCCTCTGTCTGCAGCCAGTGGTGCCTCTCCTGCTGAGGGCATGAAGTCTGTCTGTGCAGGCGCTCACCTGTCCAGACAGGTCTCTTAACAGTCCTCATCAACACCCATTATTACTGGCTTAGCCTTTTGCTCTCATAAAGTCTTATCAAGTTCAGTTCTTCGGTTATCGCTGCATGCAATCACTATAGTGGGCTTATAATTCTATATGGGAGTCCCCAAAAATCTGCAAGAAAAAATATGCTACAAAAGGTAGGTGCATGTCGACGACCAGGACATTTAACTTTTATTTACTATGCAAAAAAAAAAAAAAAGATATTGCACAAAAGAATGGGTAATAGTGACAACAATGTAGACATGGAATTACAATATCATCTGCTTATCAGCTAAATATTTTCTATTTGGCTACTTTTTCATTTTTCTTCAAACTTGGATGGACTTATAAATTAAAATATGGAGACAAAAAAAAACAAAACATAAAATAAAAAACACTAAATACCAGTTTAAAGCAAGAAAGCACCCCTTTCCCATTTGTGGAACCGAAAGTCATTTTTGTGTTTTTCATCCAGTTTGAAATTTCTAATCTCACACAAACACAGATAGACACACACAGACTGTATGGTGCCTGAACAGTTTCTACGTGCAGAGCCATCGTTTCCAGTCCAGCTGATGGTGTGTTCCAGGTGCTGCCATAGCACTGGCATTGTTGTAATCCTCCATGTGGCTCATCGTCTGGTGTCCCTTTCTCACTCCATCATGTACAGTTGGACCCATCAATAAACGACTGGTAAATTTTATCCAGGCTTTGTCTGTTTTTGTCTATGATCTCATAAAACCTGACACAGCTAGAAAAATCTTCATCCACACAGAAACATCAGAGATGACTCAAAATGCTGTAGTAACTATGCCAGGTCTGTGTGTGGCGCTGCAGTGCTGTTAGAAAAACAGGAAACAAGGCGTGGAGCATGCGTATAGAGCTTACAGGATGGAAATGAAGCTTAAATAGAAAGAGAAAAATGAGTTGTATGTTAGATTAGAAATAGGGCTATAACAATATTGTTTTCAAATGGTTGCATTTTGGCTGTCAACGCAAAAACAAAGGTGGCATTTCAAGATTTTTCCACCGAAAAATGTTTTGTGGCTACTAAAACATGTAGATGCAAGGCTGAAACAATAATTAAAAAAAAAAATATATATATATATTTTGGCATGAACGTTTTAAATTGAACATATGTGGAGCCTGAAAACAAACGTTGTCCCAGTAATAATCGGAGCAGTGGGCCTTGTCAAAAAAGGGGACGGACAAGGTCATCAACCAAATCCAGGCAACAGCAAAGTGACAGAAATACAAAATAATAATAATAATCACCCTCTTGGGCACAGCACATATTTTAAGTAAGGCACTTTCCATCAAATAAGTGTCCTCTCCATCCAGGCTTCATTACTCTAGGTTCATGGTTTGAGCCTGGTTGTAATGTGAAAATGCTAATTCTAAAATAGAAAGCATAAAAAAACGGAAAATCCATCCATCCATTATGTTTACCCGCTTCTTCCAGGTCTGTACAGGTCTCCAGTCCATCACAGAGACACATAGAGACAAACAGCCATTCACACTCTCTCACTCACACCTAGGGACAATTTAGAGTTACCAGTCAGCCTAACATGCATGTTTTTAGTCCGTGGGAGGAAACCGGAGAAAACCCGCGCATGCACGGAGAGAACATGCAAGCTAAACCCAGAAAGGTCCCAGGCCAGGATTTGAACAGGCAACCTTTTCGCTGAGAGTCAGCAGCTCTAAAAAATAGAAAACTAATAATAATAATGATTATTATATTACATTAATACATATAATAATAATATTTATTATTATAATATATTACAATTCTGTTAATTTATTTTCATATTCACCAAAAACTGACATGAACAAACAGTATATCTTGTCTTGTTACTCTTGTTTGTGGCGTCATTTTTCCACAGATCTTCTCAACGTTCAAAAAGTTCAAAATCTTTGTCATACGCAGAAAACTAACAAGTTCATTTCATCAAGGTTCATGCTCAGTAATCCATAATCCAATAATGTTCAGTCAGATCATCTGGACAGTTTCCTTTTTTTTTTTGTGTTGAGAGACGTTCCGTCCCTCATCCAAAGGACTTCTTCATTCTGAGTCCTTCATCCAAAGGACTTCATTCTGCAGAGATGCAAACAAACAAGTTCATTGTGCTTTTAAATTCTTAGATCTGTTTGTTTTCTTGCCACCATCATGTGATCACAAAAAGCACATATTTATATTTAAACAGGCATTAAACAAAACTCAGTAAGGATAAAAAGAGAATAAAATGGACAAACAATGCAATAAACACTATCAATGGATTGAATCCTTGTATAAAGTTTCAAAAGGTTGTTGTGGTTAAATAAAGTTAATAGAAGCTGGAAGGGTGTTAATTAATTCAATGGCTTGAGGGTATAGGGAGTGTTATTCAGTCTTGAAGTTGTCCATTTCACAGTCCTGGTGTGAACAGATGTTGGCGTGAGCCGGGCCTTTAATGCTGTTGTGGACCTTCTTGTCCTGCAGGGGTCAAAGGGTCATTCTGATGATGCTCTGGACTGCCCTAATCTCAGTCTGATTTCAGTTCCTAATAAATAATTCCTATTTTAGTTGTAGACAGCAAAGAACTATTTTTCTAAAGGTCGTGTCTCAAAACAACGCAAATGCTAATTTGGCTCCTCATCCACAGACACCTGTGTTTTCTGTTAGACTCACCTAAAGAGGTTTCATCTGATTACACCCTAATGTGAGTTGTATTGTCTTAAGAGTTCAGATGTTGCAGCTGTTTGCATGCATTGCCTTTGTTCTAATAATTGAGTGACAAGTTTTTTTTTTCTTTTTCTTAAACCAACATAATAATTTGTGCCTTACTGTCTTTCGTCCAACAAATTCCCTAGCATTACGTTTAAAGCTCCGTGTTCATCGTTTTAAAGTTATAATTTAGCCCTGGCAGCGGAAATGTTGTAAAGGCTTTAGCTTTGCATCATCAGGGGGGTGAATGAGTGAGTAAGACACCCGTCCGGTACTTTTAGTGTTGGCCCCTCACTGTGAAAATAATTACATTTGAGTGAAGGTATGCATGTGACATTTCAGTAAAAGCAGAAAATCAGAACGGGTTTTCACTCAAACACTGTTCACCACTGAGGTTTGTGTGGTCAGGCAGCTTATTTTCAACAGAAAATCTCCTGTTTTTTAGTTTATGTTGAGGACAATACCCTGTTTGTTCTCTGAATAAAAATCGTGAAAAACATTCACCGTGGAAAACATCATTTTTCATGATTTGCAGCATGCGCTAAAATTGATTTGATTCAAAAAAAAATTCTATGAACACTTTGGACTATTGCTCAGATTTTTTAAAAGCAGTTTCTTTGAAAGGTTATATATAATTAATATTTTACCTGTTGCAAATAGTGCCTCACATTGTAAAAAATAGTTGCAGAAATATTATTTTCTGCCAGAATATGTGTGGAAATGAATGCAAAATTGACAGCAGTGTAAAGGTTTATAACGTAGAATGTGCATAAATAGTTATAAAAGATTGAAGTTGTTTCAGGATGGCAGTGAACATTGTTCTCCTGCTGAGACCAGCCTTATGCTCGTCAGTCTGAGGGCAATGAACTGCTTCTTTGTGCCTTCCATGTCTGCTCTCCCTGCAACATAAATTGGTCACTTTACCTGTCCGCTAAGGTCTGTCTCTGCAGATGAGCGCATGCAGCTCAGACCTTTTTTTTTTTTACCCCACTGACTGTTTGCATTGCACCTGTTTAAAATGGTGGCAATAATGAAAAAAGGCCAAACCACAATAAGAAGATAGAAAAAACAAAAGGTCATCAACAAAAATAAGAACCATGTTTTCTCAATTGAACAATATTTCCAAACTGATGTCATCTAAGGAGGCATCTATAACAGGTAAGATACTAGCTGTTCAGAACATATCCACAGAACCACACTTCAATATGAAATATCTCCTGAACTATTGGATTCTAACCCTAAGAGCATTTCACCTCTTGTTAAATCTCTTCATGTCACTTTATAATGGAAATTTATATCATTTGCACTAAAATGAGACGATCAAATTCTTCCAATATTTAAAACATAATTATTCATATTCCATGTCATTGTTTAAAAGTGGGTTAACACACAGAGTAATTTTTATATAATACAGCAATAAAATAAAGCTTTAGGGATTTAAATTATTTTATTCTCCTCTTCTCTTATAATTTACAGCTAGGTTTTTGTTTTTGAGATTTTATTTTCATTTACATGTTTCGTTTTTTTTAGACGTTTTACTTCAGAGTGTACTTTAATGCACTTTTAAATTACCCCACTTTATAAAAATGTAGACTTAAAGCTGCTCGGCTTTCTTTTTTTAATGTAGAAAACTCTGAAATTTAAAATAAAATGCAGCAAAATGAACCACAAAAATGGTCGAATTAAGACTGCAAGTTGACATTCATATAAAACTTTTGTTTTCCTGCAAACAATAAAGCATTATTAATTTTTAAAGAACATTTTAAGATTTTAATATTGGAAAATATGTCGTACGGGATGGGTGTCTCAAAGACAAAACCGATATTGTTGATATTAATAATGTGTAATTGTACATTTAACAATGAGAATGTGAGGTTTAAGCATCATTTAATGTGGGAATATTATAAAGTTTATTTGTTGTGGGGAGACAAAAATGATTGTATATTGATGGAAATCATAAAATCTTCATGCTCCTTTTCTAACAAATTGTGTAAAAGTGCATGTGACTGTTTTTTTTTTTCCTTTGTTTTTACTTTTTATTGTCTGTTCGAAATAAAAACAAACAAACAAATAAATGAATAAATGTTCATATTAAGGGAGACAGCAGCTGCTTGCAAAGGAGGGAGGCAGTGACGTCAGAAACCAAACAGGTATTTACTAAACTCAGCTCAACATAAAGCTCTGATATTCAGCCCGACTTATGAGGTGAGCATATTTAAAATAACAAACACATAAATGTAAAGGTTTACATCTTGAGATTATATATATTTTTTAACTTTATGAATAAAAAAAAAAACTTCTTGGGCATCTTTCTCCATCAAACCCTCGGATGTTTGCAGAACTTTGATAAACCTCTGGAACAGCTGATCCGTGCGTTATTTTGGTCCAGATGGTCCCGGTGCTGTCTAACCCGGCTCCGGCCGCAGTTCTGGTGCTGACCTGCCTGTGTGCGGTGCCGCTGCGGGCCCAGAAGCCGGACCAGGTGGACCCCCTGACGGCGCACCGCGCGGACCCGCAGTGCTGGGACTCCTCCTCGGCTCTGCTGCTCAAGATGCGCTCCCCGAGGATCGCAGACACCGTGCCCGCCTTCTGGGACCTCATGGGGACCCTCAGGGCTTCGGAGAACGGGAAGCACACGGCGCTGTTCTGGGACCTGGCCCGGGTCTTTTGGGACATCTATCTGGACTGCGTCCTGTCCAGGAGCCACGGCCTGGGGCGCAGACAGGTCACCTCGGTGCGCTCCCTGGTTACTGACAGTAAGAGCTGCAAATGACACAGATTACAGAGAATAAAAATAAAACTAATATGCTCATTTATTTATAAAGCACAAAGCAAAAGTCATATGATATAAATAAACTGAAAACAAGAATTAAAGGACAATAAAACACATGAAAGAAAAGCTAATTTAGGTCAAATGTATTAAATCAAAGGCTCAAAGTCTTAAGCAGGTTTTTAACATATAGTCTAATATGTGTGTATTTAAAGGTGAAACTTTCTCAAAATACGAATATAAGGTCATGAAATCAGACTAAATTGTTTTTTTTTATAGAATAAATAAACCGAATTTATAGTAAAAGCATCCACTTGAAGAACAATTGTTCATACATTTGTACCAGCAGATCAATTTACACACTTTCATGACAAGAAGCTTAACATCTGTCACAGAATAAAGACAATGTGTTTGCATTTGAAACAATCCTGCAATAACAGGGTGGAGGAGTTTGATGGTTTGTGAAAGACTTAAAGTCTGTGTTTTTTGGGGGGGGATTTACCACAGTCCAGACAAAGACACAGTCCAGTTGTTCCGTTCTGGTCACAGATGCAGCTGCTGCTTTTGAGCAGATGATGTTTGGGTGAAGTTGTCATTGTGTTTTGCCTCTATACTCAATTTCTTGGATTTTTAGGCTGATAACCTTGTCAGCTTTTTCTAACTTATACTACATCAAAATATAACTAAACAATTCGCATATTTCAATGATAGTTTGGTGATTTGATGAGCTTAATGAGACATTTTGTTTTCACATTCCTTTAATCTTTAGCATTAATTTATGTACAGTTTTCAATTATAGCTAAATAAAACCTTAAATGAATCCAACTTCTTTTTCTGGCACTGATTTTGCACTTTTTAAATTTTGTTTTGGACATTTTCTGGTATTAAACCCATACCATAAACTTTATTTAAACATTATTGTTGCTGTTACTGGTAAGCTATTACGAACATCCCTGTTTAACTTTGTTATTCTTATCTTTTGCACCTCTGTTATGCTGCTGCTAATGTAATTTTTTTGAAAGTACATAGATACTGCTATGATAACCAAAATTCCTCATTTGATTCTTAAAGTCATCTTATCTTATCTTAAATAATGTTATATTAAAAACTATATTTTGTCTAAAAAAAGCTTCAGTCCAGTCCTATAATAATTTCCAACATCCTTGGACTCAGATTGAGGCTTCAAGAATTGGGGATAGTACCATTTTGGAAATAATTCACTTCCTTGTGAACGTACGTTTAACTTAATGCAGAAAATAGGTGTCAGCGAACTCATCACAACAGCAGCTTTTTATTTTTGTTACATATGACTGCTTGGATTTCCTTCTGAATGTATGCAGTCTGACTTTAGTCTCCAGATTTTCACCTGCCCCAATGACTCGCATGCTCCATAACTCAATTCCAATCTGTTCAAACACTTTCAACTCCGTATTTGAGCAGAAATGTGACAATAACAAAAGTTTTAGAGCGTACAGGCCAGCATTATTTCTACCACTAATTGTTTTCCTGAATTGTTTCAAGAAGCGTTTGACAAAAGGACGAATGGTGTTTGTCTCTTGCAGAGTCCTTTAGGTTCAACAGCTCAAGAGCAAACTCGTGGACGAAGCTGACAGTCAGAGTGAGACGCAGAGGACACATCAGGACCCTGAAGACTGAACCAAAATAAATCACACTCCACACGTTTCAGAAGATGGACAATCCTAAAATAATACAGTCAAATCCAAAGGATGTTTATTAACTGTTGTTTATTATATTGGCTTTTTCCCCCAGATTAAAGTTTTATGACAAGTTAAGGTAACAAACTTGAGGTCATTATTGTTCTTGATGACCATATTTTTACTTGAACTGCCTTGTTTACGTGAGTAAATCACTGTTGACACGCTGATGTTTTAATGTAATGTGTAGAAAGTGAACATTTCTTGTATGAATAATAAAATCAACTTTTGTTTGCTCCTTCCTTAGAGATGCTTTATGACTCTTGTATAACCATATTTATCAGGAGGTGTATGGCAAACCATTGTAGCATATAAATAAAATAAATAATCTCAAATTACTTGGTTAAAACTTTTTTTTTTTTTTAAAGGCCAAAACTAAAATAGTTTTCTCTTGAGAAAAGACCGAATCTTAAAAATAATGGTTTGTGCAATCAAATGCAGCAATGCTCTGAGTGTGTGTTGGGGATGAGCTCAGCTACTTGAAGCTGTAACTGCTTTGCTGCACAATCAATATAATTCATATTTGGTGAGTACTTGTACATTTTACTTTATTTTTATTGAGTTGAATTATGAAATTTGGAGGATTTTTTATTTTATTGGCCTGTTTTCAGATGTAATGACCCCTGCCCATTTTTTTTGTGTGTGTTTGTTAAGGTCAATGGTTGGTGGCTAACCAGTCTTGAATAGAGTGACTGTAAAATGTTATCAGTTGTGGAAGATGTTATGACCTTAGGCCCTATCCTTGACTTCCTGTTTGTGTGTGTTTCATGTTCTTTGGGTGACTGGAGTTGATTTGGAACTGGAAACAGCAGGCCAGAGTCTCCAGTGGAGTTCAAGAACTATCGCTTTAAAAGAGAGGCCTCCCATTTTTCTCCCATTTGATTGAATGGTTTGCTTATTTTTTGGTTTCATTAAAATAAAACATTCCCTTTGTTTTATTACGGCCTCTGACGGAGGCAAATCCAATGACTATATACTGTTTGAGAGTTTTGTTTAAATCCATCTTGTGGTTTATAAGATATTTTGCTGACAAGACAAACACTCGCATGGACACAGTCACAGGCAAAAACATAATTGCAAAATTTTTACTTGATGAACAACAATAAATTAATCTAGAAAAAATCTAATATAAACATAAATAGTTTATGGTCTGGATGTGTATAAGGAAAACTAAGTTGAAGTTTTTTTTTTTTTAAATATTGATAACAATTAGATTGTCATTTTACTATTTAATGGTTAGACTTGATATGTGTGGCAGATATTCATTATTCACATTTTACAAAAATCTGATTTGTTTTCTAGGAAGAGCTTACATTTCAAACACAGTAGTCCCTCGCTACTTGGCGGTCCATTTTTCACTGCCTTGCTCTGTCGTGGTTTTTCAAAGTAAGATTGGACATGACACACAATGGCTGACTGATGGATGAGCCACACGATTGACATGGATTTTTTTATTTATAATAAATTATTTTACATAATTTAGCACCTGTGGGCAGCCCACAGCTGTGGGAGAAGCTTTCTCCTGCAGCTGATCAGTGGATCTCTGTGCAGAGCAGAGAAGTGGGCGTGGCCAAGAGTGCAGCCTGAGGCAGAGAGCTGAAATCATGACATGCTGTTCTTTTTTAGAGCGTTTAGACTTTAGCAACATTAGAATATTGCAAGAGTGTGGGAAGGGTTTAAAACACTTTTATATATACTAAAATAAACTACTACTTACTACTGTGAATAACAAACAGCCATCAGGGTGATAACAATCCATCGTTAGGCTGATGGTCCTCCTTGATCACGTGAGCAGCTGGTTTTGGCTGTCAGCAGCAAACTGGTTGATCCACTACGAGAAGGTGGTATTTATAAGACTGAGCTGAATACAGCACCTCAGAATGAAGAAGTCTTTCGGATGAAAGACGAAACGTTTCTACAATTTTTTTTTTATGTTCAGAGGACCAGATTTAACTTTTTTAGGTGGGATGCTGTTGACCTCAACCAGTGATGTCATCAGGAGGTGGAAGGAATACTTCTCGGACCTTCTCAATCCGACCAGCATGTCTTCCATGGAAGAAGCTGAGTCGGGGGACTTTGGGGTTGATCCGTCCATAACCGTGGCTGAGGTCGCTAAGGTAGTTAAAAAGCTCCGAGGCGGCAGGGCTCCGGGAATGGATGAGATTCACCCTGATTTCCTTAAGGCTCTGGATGTTGTGGGGCTGTCTTGGCTGACACACCTTTGCAACGTTGCATGGACATCGGGGGCAGTGCCACTGGATTGGCAGACTGGGATGGTGGTTCCCCTCTTCAAAAAGGGGGACCGGAGGGTGTGCTCCAATTATAGGGGCATCACTCTCCTTAGCCTCCCTGGTAAGATCTATTCGGGAGTACTGGAGAAGCAAGCCCGATTGCTGGTCGAACCTCAGATCCAGGAGGAACAATGTGGGTTCCATCCTGGCCATGGAACACTGGATCAGGGTCCTTGAGTGGTCATGGGAGTTTGCCCATCCAGTCTACATGTGTTTTGTGGACTTGGAGAAGGCATTCGACCGTGTTCCTTGGGGTACACTGTGGGGGATGCTCTCTGAGTATGGGATTGGAGACCCATTGTTACGGGCTGTTCAGTCCCTATACAAGCGGTGCGAGAGTTTGGTTTGCATTGCAGGCAGTAAGTCGGCCCCCTTCAGTTGTCACCGATTATGTTCATAACTTTTATGGACAGAATTTCTCAGTGCAGCCAGCTGGCGGAGGGTTTCCGGTTTGGTGGCCTCAGGATTCCATCTCTGCAAATGATGTGGTCCTGTTGGCGTCATCAGTCGTGATCTCCAGCTCTCACTGGAGCGGTTCGCAGCCGAGTGTGAAGCGGCTGGGATGAGAATCAGCACCTCCAAATCTGAGGCCATGGTCCTCAACCGGAAAAGGGTGCATTGTTCCCTTCAGGTCGAGGGTGAGGTTCTGCCTCAAGTGGAGGAGTTCAAGTATCTCGAGGTTTTGTTCACGAGTGATGGAAGAATGGAGCGTGAGATTGACAGACGGATTGGTGCAGCATCTGCAGTATTGCGGACTCTGTACCAGTCCGTTGTGGTGAAGAGAGAGCTGAGCTGTAAGGCAAAGCTCTCTGTTTACTGGTCGGTCTATGTTCCTACCCTCACCTATGGTCATGAGCTCTGGTTAGTGACCGAAAGAATGAGATTGTGGATACAGGCGGTTGAAATGAGTTTTCTCCACAGGGTAGCTGGACTCTCCCTTAGAGATGAGAAGTTCAGTTATTTGGGAGAGACTCGGGGTAGAACCGCTACTCCTCCACGTCAAGAGAAGCCAGTTGAGGTGGTTCGGGCATTTGGTAAGGATGCCCCCTGGGTGCCTCCCTAGAGAGGTGCTTTGGGCATGTCCAACTGGGAGGAGACCCCGGGGAAGACCCAGGACATGCTGGAGAGACTATGTCTCACGGTTGGCCTGGGAACGCCTTGGAATCTTCCCAGAAGAACTGGAAGAGGTGGCTGTGGAAAGAGGTGGCTGTGGAAAGAGATGTCTGGGCCTCCCTGCTCAAGCTGCTGCACCCACGACCCGACTTCGGAATAAGTGGAAGATAATGGATGGATACCTGGATTATTGAGCATGCATCAGGACTACTTAATCCTACTTCACGGTTTTCACTTATCGTGGAGGTACAGATCCCCTGCAAAAAACGAGGGACTACTTTATCTTCATTCACACTGTTACTAAATATAACTTTACCCATTTTATGTTAATGCATCTCATCAAGTTCTCAATAAGCATCTAAATTCACCAACAAAATCAAAGGGAATGTCAAATGTCTTGAAAAAATAAATAAGAAATTTCAGGTATTTGAAAATTGACTGTGGATAGGACAAACTGCGTAATGGGTATAAAGAAGGTTCATTGGCAAGGAGTAATAAAAATAAACTTCTCGTAAGAACCTGTCTCATTATATGATAAATTGGCTTGCCTTAATTGGAGTCATTGGGTCAAGAAGTTGAAGCACTTTATCTGCAGCCGCTTTTAATGACATTAAACCTTAAGATTTTATAAATTAAATTACCATGACTTTACAACACAACCTACTTTAGTTATGTAAGTCGTAGTAAGGAGGGGTTTTCTGCACATTAACGTCTGGTCTGAGTCATCTGCGCATTTTACTTTCATTTTCTACTTCCGCCTGGTTCTGACGACGTCCGACTGAGCTCTCGGTAAACTTTGACGGGTTGAAACAGAACACTTCGTTCGCCTGCATCGTTTTCAGAGCTTCTTCGTTATGAAGTGAACGATCTTCTGTCAGGCCAGCGGTGAACTCTTCAAACAGGTACCGCTGCATTCTGTGGACTTTTATTTAGCGCACCTTACAGTTTGTGCCCTCGTTTTTTAATCAGTAGCTTAGCTCTAAATACAACCTCATACACACAGTACCTAATTTCAGACAGCGTGTTCAGTCTGTTAATTGGTAGAAGAAAAATTACGACTGTCAGACTGTCGGGGAAGACACGATCTTTCAGTTGGTGTTGTACATAAAAATGTACACAAACCGTTCTGTAGTGTTTCTGAAGCCCGCAGGGATGTCCTTAAAGACGCCATTACAAAACTAAAAATTATTAAAATAATTTTCTCTCTACTTTGAACTTTTCGGTGGCTTAAAAGTTATTAAAAAGAAGCACTCCCGTATCGGTTTATATGATCGTTGTTGTAGTTTTTTTTTAGGGTCACAAAGAGGTCATCGAAGATAGGCTTCTACCGGCGCTGCCGCCGCCCGCAGTTATCTTGTTCTTTAGCTTATCAGAAACTTTTAAAAAGTTTTTAAAGTTATTAAAAGTACATTTACATAATTTATTGTTATTACATTGTGACTGTAATAAGTCAAGTTAGTTTAAAGACGTTTATTTAAAATTATAATGCAAGCCCCCTTTTTAATATTGCACTTTCAAAGTTGAAGGGGAAACTGGAAACTAAGACCCCATATATTCCCAGTCAAAAAACAATTTAAAATATCATAAGAAATTTTTTACTAAATTTAATTTCATATATTCTTCAAAGTCATTTTTTCATTAAAGAAGGAAACTATTTCACATCTCATTAACTATACGTCTAAATGATTTTGTGTTTTGTTTGAAATACAGGATATGGATTTCCAAAAGCTGCTGCTGGAAGTAGGGAAAAGCTTGGGCCAAGATGAGCTGAAAGCTTTAGCTTTTCTGTGCATGGACCTCCTGCGCCGAAACCCAAACTCAGTGGATTCTTTCCCTGACCTCTTCTCGTCTCTAATGGACAAAGACGTCCTCTCAGCTGAGAAGCCGCAGCTTCTTACTGAACTTCTCACCATCATCCGGCAGCCTCGTCTGCTGCGGGATCTCCATCTCAGTGCCCAAATCACCAGTAATTACATCTCTGCTTACAGGTGCACTCTTCACACGTGCTTTCCCAACAACTGAAACACACAAACTGCTGTCACATTTATGAATCAAGTGGTTTTAGGCACCATACAGAAGACTGTGTTCAATATTTGGTCACTGGAAATACACTGCAGACATGTACTGAACATCATAAAGTTAAAAAAGTTTTAAATTCTATTATTTTATTTTATTTTTTTCTAAGGAGTCAGACTTTGTATTTAATAAAGCGGTCTTAATCAATAGTTTTCTGAACGTCTCAAAGTTTTTCTTTGGTCTTTGGCCTTTAATCATTTTTAGTCTGTTCTTTGTACTTCATCATGTTATTTATACATAGATACATTATATATTATGCAGTTTATACTTAAAATGCAGCAAAATTAATAAGTGAAGACCAAATGAAGTATCACATCTAAAAACACACATCCATTACAGATGAACAGTATCTGAAGGTCACGTTTTTAAGAAAAAGAATTAACAATCCATCACAGATTCTGGGCTTGAGAGATGCATCATCCTTCGGCTGATTGTCCACTGTTGTTTCAAGTTTTCAGCTCATATTGGCGCTAAAATAATATTTTATGTACATAAAGTTGTGTTGTTTTTAAAGATTAAAAACTAGTAAAAACGATCTGAAAGATTCAAAAGAAAAATTCAAATAAAAAAATTGGTTCTTTGCAAACTTGTTTATGCGCCGACACAACAGTGGTTTATACATTCAAGTTGTATTTTTTATGCCTGAATGACTTTTTGTTCAGAGTTAAACAAAAAGAAAAAAAAAATCGGACTATAAGACGCACCGGATTATAAGGTACATTAGGCAAAATGAGTTCATTTTGACAGATTTGTGAGCTCTGTGTACCACATAAAATCAATTTGAGGTCAGGAAGCACAACCAGAATTAACACACAAGACGCGCTGGATTATAAGGCTCACTGGCGATTTTATTATTATTTATTTTAATTTGATCTGTTTCTTTCATTATAGATTAACGTTTATCTTGTTTTTCTTTTATTTCAGGAAGCTGCTCTACAGCCTGTCAGAGGATATTACTGATGAAGACCTACGAAGTATGAAGTTCCTGCTGAACAGCAAAGTTCCACGTAGAAAACTAGCCGAAAACGTGAGTGCTTCTTGTTATGGCTGTGTCTGGCATGGAGATAAAAATCCTCATGTTGAAATTATAATTTTGTCAAACTGCAGAAAGTGTTTACAAATTATTAAAGCAAACTAACATTTCTGTAAGAATCCACTTTTTAATGACGTTTGAAGATAAAAGTACCGTATTTTTCAGAATATAAGGCGCACTTAAAGTCCTTTAATTTTCTCAAAAATCGACAGCGAGCCTTATAATCAGGTGCACCTTATGTATTAACCAGAAAGTTCCTGGAGAAACTTTGATGGGGACTGCCAAGCTGCTGCCATTTTAAAAATGTGATTTGACTATATGTTTGAGATCATTGTCAGCTACAATACCAAATTTCAGCTGAATAGCTCTAAAAATGCGAGAGTTATCATCTTTTTTCATTTTTAGCTAAGTCGACCATCTTGGATTTTTGATTTGCATATAACAAATCGCTCTCAGCTACAACCTTACTAAATTGCATCCCAATATATAAAAAAATAACCGATTTACTGTCAATTATGTGTTTGCCGAGGCTGCTGTTTGCAGCCATCTTGAATCAAAATGGCTCCAAACGTTAATCAGTTTTAGAGATACATCTGATGATTACTTTACATGAGTTTCAAACAAATCCACCTGTTTCTGTTTTGTCTCTACACTCTTAGAACATTCTTCATGTGGTTACATGTGGTTACTGTGAATGAGTTGAATAAAGTTTCACTTATCTGACTGTTTTGTTTCACTTAATGTGCCGTATGTATGAAAACAAACCCGTTCATTGATATTGTGCCTTATAGTCCAAAAAAATACGGCACCTGCTAATTTGTTTAACTTTCAGACTACACTGGATGTCTTCTTGGAGATGGAGCACTTGGATCTCATTAATGAAACTAATCTCAACAAGCTGGAGGAAATATTTAACTCGGTGTGTCCTGTGCTGAATCTAAAGATCGACCAGTATAAAGCAGGTAAGCAGCTCGTAATGGCAGATGCAGGCCTGAAAACCTGTTGACTGTGGACTGGTGGAAAATTTAAAATGACCTGCACGAGTTAGGCAGTCGGGTCAAAGCAGAGAACTTCACATTAGAAATTTACTGTGGATGCAGCTGTTCTTGAACTGTATCAAGCATCTAAAATGAGTTTGTTGTTTTTTTCTCAAATTTCACCTGAAGAAATGGGTCGACCGAGATCTTTGTCTTTACCTTCCGAGTCAAATGAGGTACCTCTTCCATGGAAGATTTTATTGACATTATCTTCTTATTGACGCTTTTATTCATTTTAATCCCCAAAACTTAACGACTGTTTGTTCTTTATCATATTAGGTCCCCGCATCATTTCAAAGGACCGGCTCCTTGGGAAGAGGTAACACAGGACATGAACGTTTTCCTCTGCGGCGCATCGCTTGATGTTTGTGCTGCAGCTTCAAAAATGTTGTTCAGTATTTGATTCCTTAGTAAAGCAAACATCAAATGAAAGTAATCTAACTTTAATGATGCTATTTCAACCTTTCAAACTTGCAAACTTGGTACTGTTACACCCGACACGATTGTTTCCACCTTTTCCAATTTTCTCTTGTTTTCCTTTTCTGCAGGCGTGCAACCGATGCCTCCGGTAAGAATCTGTCAAAGTCTAATTTGATGCAATTTAGGTTCTATTCTGTAATAGTCATTTTAAATTTATTTTATAGTCTTTTCTGCCGTCCATGAATTCTTCCAACTCATCCGATGGTACGTTTTTTATTTAATTTGATCCCTTTTAGGCCATTAATGAATAAATACTATTAAGCGCTGTGTAGTATATATTCATTCATTCATGTGTTCATTCATTCCCAGATGTTGGTCAAGTTGGAGTCATCTGTCAGCCCCTGCCAACAAATAATGTCTCGTATGGATTGAACAAAATGGGTAATGAAACATTCATCAATATCAGCTTCCTACAAGTTTTTAAATCTCATTAAGAACTGGTTACATGTTTAAAGTTTTGAATGCGTCACGACTAAAATGAACATGTGTTTTACACGGTCATCACATAAGAGACTCAAGGCGCCACAATGACTGAGGCTCAGAAACAAATGGAGGTGCGTGATTTTGTTTTTCTTTGTGTGTTAATTATCACAGCTCAAATGTTGATTGAGTAAAGTCTGCAGGATTTTTGTTTGTTTGTTTGTTTTGTTTACTTCAGGTGTTTTCTGATTTAAGATCAACTTTATGGACATTTGAATTCTATATCACAATCCCATCAGGCCTTGAAATGTTCAGAAATGATGGATTTCTCTCTGCAGGGTTTGGAGACGTATCCAATGACGGCAGCAAAGAGAGGCATCTGTGTGATACTGAACAACAACGACTTCTCTAAATCAGATGTATCCCTGAAGGATCGAGTTGGAACTGACGTCGACGAGCGTAAGTTTAGTTTTTATTCATTTCAGACTTCTCAAATGAAATCGGATGTTAGTTTTCTGTGTTACAGAAGCTTTTGTTTGTGTTCCTTTCAGAATCTCTGAAGAGGGTGTTTGAATGGCTCAACTTCGAGGTACAGATACACCGAGACCTTGTCAAGGAAACGATGCTGTCTGTGCTTAAGATGCTCGGCAAGGGAGACCACAGTCAGATGGACTGCCTGGTGTGCTGCGTTCTGAGCCACGGGAAGGAAGGGATTGTGTACGGAGTGGACGGCTGCACTGTTACAATCAAAGAGCTGATGGACCCCTTTGATGGACTGGGGTGCGTGTCGTTAGTGGAAAAGCCCAAGCTGTTTTTCATCCAGGCCTGTCAGGGCAACAAGGAGCAGAAACCTGTTGAAATAGACGGAAGAGAAGAGGAAGATGATGACGACTATATTTGTAGTGATGCAAGAGTTACAGAGTCCATCCCAAATGGAGCAGATTTCCTGCTGGGAATGGCCACTGTTCCCAGTTATGTGTCCTTCAGGGATAGGACTAATGGCACCTGGTATATCCAGTCATTGTGCCAAAACCTTATCCAGATGGTACCAAGGTGAGCAAAACAACAGAAAGTCCTGGATATTGTGATTTTATTGTATTTATTTCTGAGGATCTACACTCATTGTCCACCTGTACAAGTTTTGGGGCCACGTAATTGCAAATACATTTAGATAATTGTGTATTTCTTTCTTATTTCAGACAACATTCATAGTTTTTACTGATGCAAAACAAATAGAACAACAGTACAAAGCTAGATTGTACTCTTCAGGTACACATACTTACCACTGCCTTTGGCAAGTATCACATAGTATTCCACACACAGAAGAAAAACAAAAAAAACATAGTATTCCACACACACTCTGTCTTTATTTCCAGTTTTCCTTGTTGTTTCTCCTGCCTTGTTAAATAGTTTTTGAAGTCGTGGGCAGCTGAAGCACCACATGACTGCTCACTGTTTGAACAAGATGGAGTCATGACTATTTAAAATACATTTATTTATTTATTTTATGGCCCCCACAGCAGATGACTCTAAATTTTAGTTTAAAATTTTCACCTTAATGTTTAAAATGTGGTATTTTTTGTCTTTTTTTTTTAATATACCATTTCAAAAGTCACTCGTGGAATTATGGCTTAATAAAAGTAACATTCATTAATTTGTGCATATTGCTTGTCGACTTGCACACCTGTGTTTTAAAAGAGATCTTTGCATGATCAGAGTTTGTGTTGTGAACGACTCGCTGCTACTCCCAAACCAAATTTGAGCTCAAAATCTATATTATTGACTGAGTGTCATTTATGTGTTGGCTAAGGTCAATTAGCTGTGGCTGCCGTCTTTAATCAGGTTCGCTCTAAAAATGGTTGATTACTTTCTGATAGTTTCATTCAGATCTTTTAAGTGATTCATTAGATATTTTGCTAAAAGACAGATAAACCAATACACACAGGCAATCGCATGGTTTCTCACCCTTTATGGCAACGAGAAACAATAATAATTTTGTTAACAAACCAGTGCCCTAAAAGCACCAGGATAGTTTTTGAAAACCGTTTTCAAGAAAGACAAATCTCTCAGGAATGACCATTTTGATCTCGTCTTTTGTCGGCGTAATCTGTAATTTTACCTTTGGATGTTTAAATGAAGCGTGTCTTTGTTTTCTCAGGGAGGTTGACCTCGTCTCCATCCTTACAAAAGTGAATGCAGATGTTAGCAGGAAGAGCTGTCCGTATGGTTGGAAAAAGCAGATGCCTCAACCAGCCTTCTCACTTCGCAAAAAAGTGATCTTCCCAGTTCCCAAAATGCCTCCTCCAGACGCCTGAGCTGTCTGATTGCTGGACTTGTACGAGAGATGATACACATATCGTTTACATATTTGCAATGTGTGTGTTTTACACCAGCCTTTTTATCAACTTTTTGAAAGACTTGCCAAAAATTCAGCACTTTTACTTTACATTTAGTATTTGTGATTGATTTTCAGTACATGCAAATCACACACCAGCGTAAAAAAGCACACCTATTTTATTTCTTTACTTTTTTTGTTATACATGTTTTCCTTTTTAATCCATTACGTTTTATTTGTGTTTCATTTACGTACATACATTTTATGTGCATGTACATTTTATAAAATACATTTCCTATGATCTATTTTACCTGTAGCCTATATGTTACAAAACAAAACAACATGTACTGTATGACTAATAATGACACATTTTAGGAGCAGAAATGTCATTACATTTGAATCACCACTGGGAAGCTGACTAACAAATCAGCACAACAAGCAAGCAAACAAGTTTTCACTCTGACTTTTGTCTATTTATGAGATTTTTTTTTGTGAAATACTGTCCTTTACTCTTTTCTTAAAGGACATATTTTTGTCATACATATTCTCAGGCATTGTTGTAAAGGAATTGTTGAAAATGCTCCGTTCACTGTGTTGCTGCTGTGACTGCCTCTGCAAGACATCTGCCTCTGTTCAAATGTATCCAGGAAGTGGGAAATAAATTTTACATTGCAAAATAAAAGTCCCCTAAAGAATACTTTTTTATTGTAAAATAAAATTGGTCTTTTAGATATTAAACTTGGATAGTAAATTAGTAAGATGTCTCGTTTACTATCATAAATGTATTGTGTTATTATATGTGACTTGAAATGAAAAACTTGAGTAGGAAAGAACAGACTGAAGTGCAGAATTAGTAAAAATATATACATTTGTGGGCCATAAATTATATTTGTCTAAAATTAACGCCATAATAACAGCAACTAGCAATCCTGGTAGCTTAAAATAGTATTTAATCTTCCTAATCTACCTTTAAATTGAGGTTTTCGTACATTTATATCTTTAGAAATTATTGTTTATGTTTTAACTTTTATAATTTCCTTTGAAATTACAACAAACTATTACTCATTTTGAAGCGCATGAGATGGGGAATTTAAAATAATTCAATATTGGGGGGGGGGGCATCTCATTGAGACTCATTTTGCCGGAAGAGTTGCATATTTTTTTTTTTTTTTTTAATTTATTAATAAAAGCACAGAACTATAGAACACTAGAAAATAGAAAGATATATACAAACACTCGTGAAGGGTGTCATAACTACAGTTTACAAGCTAAGGGGTGGTTTACAAAATGATGAAAATTGAGAAATACATATATAAAAACACATTAAATGAAAAAAAAAAAGGAGCAAGACAATACGAGAAACTTAAAACAAGTTTTTCGATATCTGTTGTGAGATGGTTCTAGCAGTTTTCCAGTTTTTTAATCTACTTAATGAAGAATAGTACGACTTGAATTCGTTCATAAAACACTGGAAGGAGGGCTTATTATCGCTCCACTTACTACAATGAATGTGGTACTTTGCTATAAGGATGACTATATTTATGGCATCAGAGTAAGCTGAGTTTAAATTATCCATATAAAATAAAATGGCATCATCATCAAAGGGAGGAATGTTAAGTTTTAGATTAATCCAGTTTGTAATGTCAGTCCAAAAACTTTGTGAGTATTGACGTGAAAAAAACAAATGTTCAAGGGATTCATCTTCAGATTTACGAAAGGTACACAAATCAACCTCAAATTTAAATCTTCTGTACAGAAACATGGCTACTGGATATATCTTATTTATTATTTTAAAATGGTTTTCTTTCACTTTAGGAGATATAGGCCATTTCACAAATTTAGAATGAGCAGAAGTCATTATGGTTTTATGATTTATATTGGGAGGTTTCTTGAATGAATCTTTGTTATAATCATAGTAAATCCTTTGTCGCATGCATTCATTGATTATTTTTCTCTTGTTCAAAAGCATGAATTGTTGACTCCGGCGTCGCCAGCAGGGGGCGCTAAGTTTCCCATGTACCAGCAGTGATGCTAGAACAAATTGTACATCCGGGTCATCAGCGGGTCTGATGACCCGGATGTAGATTACCGGGGTTTATTATTTTCCTCATCTCCGCACAAGAAGGTGTTAATAAAAATTAACAAAACAAGAAGACGTTAAACAGTCCGAAGACCACCGAACATGTCTCAAGATGAATCACCAGCTCCAACTACCGACGACCAAATAAGGTTTGTAGTTTTATTGTGTTTGAACTGTAAGACACATTCAAACTATTAGCATAAACCAATTCATGTTTTGGTTACAAAAATATGTCGCATACTCCGAGCAATGCATCTTCGTTTTACGCCGGCTGATGAAGCTTCTCAGTAAATTAAAAAAAGTTGACAAAAACAACTGGATTTATTTGTAACAGAAGACGTTTCTCTTCTCATCCGAGGAGCTTTATCATAATTTTTATCAAGGGTAGATATAGTTGGGCTCACCTCATAGCATGGGTTCTGGAAAAATATTTGAGAGGG